AGAGCTGGGCATCCTGGGAAAGGAGGTCTATGCTTTATTTGGTAGAGTCCTGGTGACGCAGTGGTTACACATTGGGCTGGGGTCCGCATGGTCAGCGGTTAGAAATCACCAGCAGCTCTGAAAGAGAAAGTCTGGGCTTTCACTCCCATCACCAGTGACTGTCTCAGAAACCCACAGGGACTCGCTATGAGTCAGCACCAACTCCGTGGCAGGGAGAGAGAGTGAATGCTTTATTTGAGAAATTCCTTTCAGTGAGCTGATTCTTCACATCAAGGTGGGACTGGAGAGTGTCTGTGAATCACTTGCTTTACGTCAAAGCAACCCCCCAATTAGTTCCCCATACCGAGCTGCAGCGTGGTACCAGGTTTCAGACTTCTAGGCAGATGGGGGCAGGTAAAATGTGTGTACGCAAGCACACACATGCATATGCACTCGCACACACATTCGTGCATGTGTGCAAGGATTCAGGCAAAATTACTCTTTGCTTTAGGATCCTTTGCAATCCTTCTCACCTCTCATAGGTCTCAAACTCCTGAATGTAAAATGGATGGCTGTTGCCTGTTCCAGTGCTCCCGCCACCATTCGCTATTGGATATCTTTTTTTTTATCAGGCATTGTCTTTGGCACCGGGGGATCACAGTGTGAGCAGAACACATAGGGGACCGACCCCTTGCAGTTTTCAGTCTGGTGGCAGAGCTGGACGCTGTAAGTACCATACATTATAGGTGAGTTTACCTGAAGGTTATTTTATGCAATGTTTATCAGGCTTTTCACTCAGCATCATAGTTGGGTCATAAAAATGTCAGGAGATGTTTCCCTTTCTAGACTCTCAACAGAAAAAGAGATTGTTGACATTTTTAAAGGGCAGTGGAGTTCAGTGGTAGCATCCGCTCCCTCCATGCTGGAGCCCCAGGTGGGAATCCCAGCCAGTGAACTGTGCTTGTGATGCTCTGTGTGCGCTGGGATGCTCTACGGGCTGCCGTGGAGTTTTCTGACTCCAGCAGTCTGGGAAGGTAGGCCTGGTGAACTATTTCTAAATATTACCCAGTGAAACCCTATGGATCACAACAGTTTGATTTGCTACCTATCAAGAGGTTGGAACAGGAATGGACAGTGTGTACTTTCATTGTTCTTGTGGCCACCAGGAGGCTGCGTGGTAAATCCAAGGGAGCTACCAGCAACACATTGGAGAGGCGTGGTAGGTTCTCTTGTAATCCGAGGTGATCCTGGCACATCGCAGCGTAGCTCTTTGATAGATAGGGTAGTCTGTATTCCTGTTATCAGTGTTTTCATCTTCCCATCTTTTGTCTTGGAGCTTCTGGGTGGTGCAGACAGTTAATGTGATTGGTTATTAACCAGAAGATTTGAGTCCACCCAGTGGTGCTTCTAAAGAAAGAGCTTGTCATCTTCAAAAGAAAAGTTATTGGAAACTATGGAGCACAGGTCTACTCTGACATGCCTGAAGTCAGTCTCCATGCATTAGAATCAACTCCACTAGCAACTGGTTATATGTTGTGTGATTTGACCCTGTTAGCTTTGAGTTTCTGTCCCAGTCAATGCCCCATAGATTCTTTTATATATTGCAGCTACAATGGTGTCTTACCTATGTTTAATAAATATTAACTAAGTGGTTAAGATTCCTATTCACTGGAGATCCCCTTGCCGAGGAGTCTCAGGGAGGAGATGAGCCAGTCAGGGTACGATGTAACAACGATGAAAAATATAACTTTCCTCTAGTTCCTAAATGTTTCCTTCCCGCTCCCACTACCATGACTCGAATTCCACCTTGCAAGTGTGGCTAGACCAGAGGATGTACACTGGTACAGATAGGAACTGAAAATACAGGGAATCCAGGGCGGATGAGCCCTACAGGACCAGTGGTGTGAGTGGCAAAACAGGGAGGGTAGAGGGAGAGTGGGTAGGAAAGAGGGACCTCCTCCCTGGGGAATGGACAACAGAAAAGTGGGTGAAGGGAGATGTCGGACAGGGCAAGATATGACAAAATACCAATTTATAAACTATCAAGTGCTCATGAGGGAGCGGGGAGCGGGGAGGGAGGTGAAAAATGAGGACCTAATGCCGGGGGTTTAAGTGGAGAGAAAATGTTTTGAGAATGATGAGGGCAATGAATGTACAAATGCGCTTTACACAATTGATGTGTGTATGGATTGGGATAAGAGTAGTATGAGCCCCTAATAAAATGATTAAAAATAAATAAAGAACTAGAGAAATGGAAAAAAAAGTTTCCTATTTGCCTTTTTCTTTCTCATGGATTTCCTGCTTTTCTTGGCCATATTCTCTTAGGTGGTTGAGAATTTTAGAATACAAAGGAGTTCCATTGCATTCCATTCCTTTCAATTCTGCAGTCATTTACCAACCTCTCACCTGACTTGTCTTTATTATGGAGAGGAAGAACATTCTATATATTCTATCTGCATAAGTACTCTTGTTGACAGATGATGTTGGTCTTATGGATCCAGAGAAAGAAAAAGCTTTAAAAATTAATCCTGCTTAACAACAGATTAAGCTTTCTGAAGTTCTCTGTAAAAAGAAGCAAAAACATGTGTCTTCTAAGAAAGGAGGGATGTACAGAAAGCTATAAACTTAAATAAAGATGCAGGGAAAATTTTACATCAGAGTTAGTTATTCCAGGCTAAGAAGCAACAACAAAGATCCTAATTTCCTACTTCTCGACTTAAAACCATGCAAAGCGACAATGAGGAGAGATAAAAGTTCAGAATAGTGACTTTCAGTGAAATGGGTGGACAGGGATGCCCATAAATCTAAAACACTTGTGAATTATAAGAAGAAAGCACTCCAAATTTTACGATCCAGTAATCCCACTATTAGTTGCCTAAGTGTATTCTAGAGATATAAGAGCAGTGGCATGAATAAGCATTTGTACATCATGTTCATCTCACTAGAATCTACCGTAGCAAGAAGATGGAAGTAACCCAAGGGCCATCCATGGCTGAATGAATAAACAAATTGCAATACATATGCAATGCTATGCAATGATAAAGAATAATGATGAGTCTGTGAAACAGCTTATAATATGAATGAATCTGGAGAACATTTTGCTGAGTGAAATATGCTAGTCACAAAAGTATATGTTACTGCTTTTATTAAAAGTCAAGAATAGGTCTGTACACAAAAAGCAGCGTTCTTTGAAGGTTCCTGGAATGGGAAGTGGGGAAGTGAGAATCACTTATTATATAGCAGTTGTCTGTTAACTCTGCTGACAGGGACGTCATCACAATTTGACCGAAGAAAATGAAGACACTGAGAGGTAGCCGAAATAAGACAGCTATAGTAAGTGTTATACAATGTTGCAACAACAGTAATAATAAGCAAAACGGTTTGAGTGGTAACATCGGTAGATATGTATGCTATATATGATTTAGGAGGCATAAGGAAGTACATGTGCATATGTAAGAGATATATAGTTATCTTTGTGGGCATAAATATATACATGTTTGTATGTGCTGCAAGTATTTATTCATCTATACAGTAAAGTGTACAGGGGACATGCTTCCTACACATAGCCAAAACACTTTGTGGGATTGATTTACTGGTTTGAAGGCTCAGGACATGGTCTCATAGGACAACTAGGTCAACTGGCATGACTTCGTTGATTAAGATAATGCTCTACATCCTCGTTTATAAATAGAATCTGGGATCTTAAAAATGTATGAGCAGCCATCGAAGGTCCTGTATATGAAGCACAGAAAAAATTAGTTCACAAACTAATAGCTTGTGTGAGCCACAGTCTCTTTTCCCATAAGAGTAGTCACTTTTCACCTAAGACTAGAAGAATCAATATGGTGCCCGACTACCACTATACTGGAAGGGCCAGGTCAGAATAGAAGAAAAACACAGAACAAGATTCAAATTTATTTTTGGAAGACCAGACTTACAGGACTGTTAGAGACTAGAAAATTCCCTACATGAGCGCCGAGATACCCTTTTAGCCTAGAACTGAAGCCCCTCCAGGAGCTCATTCTTCAATCAAATAATAGACTAGCTTATAAAATAAGCAATAACACCTGTGAGGAATGTGCTACTGTAAACAATTAAGTTTGTGAAACCGAACAATATTTACCTAAAAGTAACCAGGAGAAAGCAAGAAGAGGCAGGGAAACTAGATGGATGGAGGAGGGGAGAGTGGTAAAGGTGTGTGTGTGAATATAACCAATGGCAAGGAGCAATTGATATGAATGGTTGAATACGAGTCTAATTTACCATGTAAGCTTAAAACACAATAGAATGCATATTTAAAGTCCTTTAAGAGCATGCCGTCCTACATAGGATAAGGCCATAACTCCTCAACTAAGTATTCAAGGTCCCTCACATCCTAGACCCTGCCTGGTTCACTTATTTTGCTTAAAAAAAATCTGCACCAAAAACTGTTGAGTTTTGATGCATAAGCAGCTTCATTTTGGTGGAGATCCCTGACTCACTGATTTCACAGGATTTTAATATAGGTAGTTATGTCCATCTCATTAGATTGGGTTGCGAAGGTTATCATGACTATCATCTTATTATTATTATTTTCTTTTTTAATAACACTATACCAAGGATACAGTTGGTATTTAATATTTGTAGAATGAATGAAGGCATCTTGTAGAATGAATGTAGAATATTTGTAGTATGAATGAATTCCTTAGTAAGTATAGAAAAAGAAGCAATTACTGAAGAAATTTGAGACAAAAAGATACACAGATAAATCAAGCAAGGAACCTACTTGAACGTTTTAGACATGTCTCCCACACTTCCTAGCATAGTGAATTTAGTGTCAATAAAAGTTCATAGTGTAGTATAATTGGTTTATTAATGCAAGTGTAGTATAATTGGTTAAATTAATACAAATGCATTCATTTCATTCTTCCCCTTTTCCTAGAATTCAGAGAATGACATGCTCAGCACTTAGTCAAGGCAACATATGTTCAGAGAATTTGTATATGTATCACTTGAGATCTCATTCTCGGGCCTCTGAGCGCATGGCAGGAGAGAATCAGACCAGCATCTCTGAGTTCCTCCTCTGGGGACTTTCAGAGCGGCCAGAGCAGCAGCGCATACTCTTCCTTCTCTTCTTGTGGATGTATGTGATCACTGTGGCTGGAAACCTACTCATTGTCCTGGCCATTGGCACTAACAAGCATCTCCACACCCCCATGTACTTCTTCCTGGCCAGCCTGTCTTGTGCAGACATCCTCTTCACCTCCACCACTGTGCCCAAGGCCCTGGTCAACATCCAGAGCCAGAGTAGGTCCATCTCCTATGCTGGGTGCATGGGTCAACTCTACTTCTTCTTGACCTTTGGAGATCTGGACATCTTTCTCCTGGCTACAATGGCCTATGACCGCTATGTGGCCATCTGCCACCCTCTTCATTACAGGATGATCATGAGCCTCCGGCGCTGCAGCCTCATGGTGACTGCCTGCTGGATCCTTACCAATCTTGTTGCTATGACCCACACCTTCCTCATATTCCGACTTTCCTTCTGCTCTCAGAAGGTCATTCCTGACTTCTTCTGTGATCTGGGACCCCTGATGAAGGTGTCTTGCTCTGATACCCAGGTCAATGAGCTTGTGCTCCTCTTCTTAGGGGGAGCGGTCATTTTAATCCCCTTTATACTTATCCTGGTCTCCTACGTTCACATTGTTTCCGCCATTCTCAGAGTCCCCTCTGCCCAGGGAAGGCGCAAAGCATTCTCCACCTGTGGTTCCCATCTTGCTGTTGTTGCCTTGTTCTTTGGGACGGTGATCAGAGCTTATCTGTGCCCCTCGTCATCTTCCGCCAATTCAGTAGAGGAGGACACAGCAGCTGCTGTCATGTACACAGTGGTGACTCCCCTGCTAAATCCCTTCATCTACAGCCTGCGAAATAAGGACATGAAGGATGCACTGGGGAGACTTCTCCGGGGCAAAGTCTCTTTTTCATTGGGCCATTGATTTCTGCAGACAAACTAGGTGTCTTCCACGCCTTGCACAAGGGACTCCACCAAAAGTGTGCCTTATCACCTCTCCTTCCCTGACTCCCTTTCATGAGTTTGTATTGTTGAGGAGAAGAAACGATTTGCATTGTATATTAAAATTAATCGGTTAGAGTTTGCTTATTTATTTTTACCTATGAAAATAACTTTTCATCCTTCCTTTTTCTGCCATCTTTCTGTGCTGCCATAATGGTGTGCATGAACATCCTGGTAAATGCTCTCAAGATCATCAGTAATGCCGAGAAGAGAGGCAAGTGCCAAATTCTTATCAGGCTCTACTCCAAAGTCCTTGTCAGTTTTCGAACTGTGCCGATGAAGCCCAGCTACATTGGCGAATTTGAAATCATCAATGATCACAGAGCTGCTAAATTAGGAAACTTGACAAGGGTGGGTACTATACAACAACCAGAGGACAATTTGAGACTCTACAGAAATTGGTGAACATGTTGATGGTTTATGCCCTATGTTAACAAGTGTGGGTCCCATTGTTAAACCTCAGACTCAAGGTCTATCAGAAGACATTTGGGAAATCCCTTGAAAATCTTTACAATTAGAGATTAAATTAGGACAAGGCCATTTAGGTGAAGTGCAGATGGGTACAGTGAATAGAAGCACGAAAGGTATAGTGAGTACCCTAAAACCAGGTTCAATGATGCCCGAAGCTTTTTTCCAAGAGGCTAAGATCATGAAAAAATTCAGACAAGACAAACTTGTGCCACTACACACTATTGTTTCTGAAGCATCAATGTACATCGTTACTGAATTGATGTCAAAAGGAAGCTTATTAGATATCCTAAAGGAAGGACATAGAAAGTTTTTGACATTCCCACAACTGGTTCATATGGTTGCTCAGATTGCTGGTAGCATGGCATATATTGAAAGAATGAATTCTTTTCACTGATGCCTTTGGGCTGCTAATATTCTTATAGGATAAACTCATGTGTGTAAAATAGCAGATTTTGGTTTAGCAAGGTTGACGGAAGACCATGAATATACTGTACTATAAGACAAGGTACAAAATTTCCAATCAAACAGGCAGTTCACAAGGCTGTACTGTGTGGTCTATGTACAATAAAGCCTGGCATATGGTCAATTGGAATTCTTCAGACAGACTGGTAACAAAAAGCAGAGTGCCATCCAGGTATGGTGAACTGTGAAGTGCTGGAGTGGGTTGAAGGGGAATGCAGGATGCCTTGTCCTCAGGGCTGTTCAGAATCCCTACATGAATTGATGAGTATTTGTTGGAAGAAGGACCCTGATGAAAGGCCAGCATTTGAATA